TTTCGAACTTCCAAGGTTTTACAGATAAAGTTTGATGTCGAAAGAAATTTAAGGTTTTTTTCTCAGGGAGGAATTATTTTTGCCCAGATAGAAAAGAGCAGGGCGAACATGGTCCCCTTGGAAGAGGCCAGGGACTTTATGGGCAATTTGTCTGTAAAACATTGGAACTTCGAAATTTTCGAATGTCGAAAGAAATTTTAGGTTTTTTTTTCTCACTGAGAAATTCCCACTTTTGCCCAAAAAGAAAAGAGCAGGGCGAACATGGTCCCCTTGGGAGGGACTAGGGACTTTACGCGGCACGCACTTTTTTCTAACGAACTTCAAGGGTTCACAAACAAACTACTCTTGGTTTTTTCCATTGAGAAATTCCTATTTTTGCCCAAAAAGAAAAGAGCAGGGCGAACATGGTCTTGCTGGGAGCAAAGAAAAGGGGGACTCTATGCCGCACGCACTTTTTTCTAACGAACTCCAAGGGCTCACAAACAAACTACTCTTGGTTTTTTTCCACTGGGAAATTCCTATTTTTGCCCAAAAAGGAAAGAGCAGGACAAATATGGTCCCCTTGGAAGGGGCCAGGGACTTTAAGGGCTCGATTTCGAAGTTCCAAGGTTTTATTGATAAAGTTCGAAATTTGTCGAAAGAACTTTGGGTTTTTTCACTGAGGAATCCCTATTTTTGCCCAAATAGAAAAGAGCAGGGCGGACATGGTCCCCTTGGAAAGGACCAGGGAGTTTAAGTGCGCGAAATTTTCGAACTTCCAAGGTTTTACAGATAAAGTTTGATGTCGAAAGAAATTTAAGGTTTTTTTCTCAGGGAGGAATTATTTTTGCCCAGATAGAAAAGAGCAGGGCGAACATGGTCCCCTTGGAAGGGGCCAGGGACTTTATGGGCAATTTGTCTGTAAAACATTGGAACTTCGAAATTTTCGAATGTCGAAAGAAATTTTAGGTTTTTTTTTTCTCACTGAGAAATTCCCACTTTTGCCCAAAAAGAAAAGAGCAGGGCGAACATGGTCCCCTTGGGAGGGACTAGGGACTTTACGCGGCACGCACTTTTTTCTAACGAACTTCAAGGGTTCACAAACAAACTACTCTTGGTTTTTTCCATTGAGAAATTCCTATTTTTGCCCAAAAAGAAAAGAGCAGGGCGAACATGGTCTTGCTGGGAGCAAAGAAAAGGGGGACTCTATGCCGCACGCACTTTTTTCTAACGAACTCCAAGGGCTCACAAACAAACTACTCTTGGTTTTTTTCCACTGGGAAATTCCTATTTTTGCCCAAAAAGGAAAGAGCAGGACAAATATGGTCCCCTTGGAAGGGGCCAGGGACTTTAAGGGCTCGATTTCGAAGTTCCAAGGTTTTATTGATAAAGTTCGAAATTTGTCGAAAGAACTTTGGGTTTTTTCACTGAGGAATCCCTATTTTTGCCCAAATAGAAAAGAGCAGGGCGGACATGGTCCCCTTGGAAGGGACCGGGGACTTTAAGAGCGCGAAATTTTCGAAGTTCCAAGGTTTTACAGATAAAGTTTGATATTTGTCGAAAAAACTTTTAGTTTTTCCTTACTGAGGAATTCCTACTTTTGCCCAAAAAGAAAACAGCAGAGGGAACATGGTTCCCTTGGAATGGAAGAGGGACTTTAAGGGTGCGATTTCGAAGTTCCAAGGTTTTACAGATAATGTTTGATATTTGTCGAAAAAACTTTTAGGTTTTCCTTACTGAGGAATTCCTACTTTTGCCCAAAAAGAAAACAGCAGAGGGAACATGGTCTCGCTTCCAGAAAAGACCAGGGACTTAATGCGGTACAACTTTTCCCCAAAAAAATCCCGAGATTTCATTAACAAATCTTCAAAATCTGCCGAAGTTTGCTTTTGGATTCAACTACACCGTGCCCTGGTCTCGCTGTCGGGAAGAAGAGGAACTGCATGTGGCAGGACTTTACCTTAAAGGCAGCGCCGTGCAAAAGCGAAAATGTAGGGTACAGGGGCGCCCGTCCTGGTAAAGCTCTTGCTCAACTGGCAACACATCAATTTGCTTCTGGAGCGAGAAGACCGCTTTAGAAGTGGCGATTTACTGCTTACTGTGGAAACTGGACGCTTTGAAAAACGAGAGCGTATTGTTAGTGTGCAAGTATAGCCTTGACTCACTAATTAATTGGCCTCAACCCACTTGCTAGCGACCCGTAGGGTCGCTAGTCTTATATATAAAGTTGAATGTCTGTTTGTCTGTCTGTATGTCTGTCTGTCTGTCTGTCTGTATGTCTGTCTGTACGTATGTTCCGAATAGAAAATTCCATTTCTGAAGCGATCGGGACCAAACTTGGCACACATACACTTCGGGCCCCGGCGGGTGTCATAGGCTACTTTTGGTCATCGATCGATATTGATTTTATCGATTTTTTGCAAAATTTGAGCTACAGGGCTGGGAGTTGGCACAGGGGGGTAATCGAGCATGCTGATCACCCCCGTGGGGGTGATCAGCATGCTAGATTACACCCCCCTGCCAAATTCCAGCCCCTAGCTCAAATTTTGCAAAAAATCGATAAAATCGACATCGATCGATAACGAAAAGTGGACTGTGGCACCCGCCGGGGCCCGAAGTGTATGTGTGCCAAGTTTGGTCCGGATCGGTTAAGAAATGGAATTTTCTATTCGGAACATATGGCGGAGCCGGGTAAGCCAGCTAGTATCGAATAAATTCGAGGTATAAAAATTCTCGAATGAATGTACTTCGAATAAATTCGGAAATTCAAAAATATCGAATGAATGAATATCGATTATCTTCGAACCTTGGGAGCCGAATTTCGAATAAATATTCGAATGATTTAACGAATAACTAGAGCAACCATATCTCAAACTTGCTGACATATCTGGCTGAAGCCGATCCATTCATAATCAGCACCCTCGTATCCCCTATACCAACTCCTAGCTCAAAACTTTCCGAAAATCGCTGAAATCGATAAAATAGATTCCGGTTTTGATCAGCATCCTCATTTACCCCCCCCCCCCCCGTACCAACTCCCAACCTCGTGGCTCAAGATTTTCCAAAAATCGACAAAATCGATAAAGTAAATTTTTATCCATAGTCAGCGCCCTCACTTACTCCCTCCTTGCACCAACTCCCAGTCCCGGACCTCCAAAAATCGATAAATTCGATAAAGTAAATTTTTATCCATAATCAGCACCCTCACTAATTCCCTTGTACCAACTCCCAGCCCCGCAACAACGGTGGCCACATATGTACTTAAATGCCACAAATGCTACGACACATTGCTTGTTCATCGGAGATTTTCGTCTTGTGTGGCATAAGCTAATCGTGGACGAAGGCATGTGTTTTATCCAGCGAAGCGAGCACGATTGCCCCTAGCCCTGGGCATACTGCAGGCATTTCACTGGCGACGTGGTTTGGCAATAGTCATGTCCAAAACTTATTCTAAAAGTACAGAATGCACGGCATTTATCTTTTTAGTAAGTTGTACACGCTAAACATTTGTGGTAAGCTGGCGTTACATTTGAAGACATCTCGTAACTGGCAAACCGCGTACGGCGATCTAAACCGTCTAATCCTCCACTACAACTGCGATGTCCTTTACTCAAGATACACCAATTCGCAAAAAACTCTAGGGTAGCGAATAGAGGCAGTTGTGCAATATAACTTATGCGAGCAAGAGTGTGGGCTTGGCGTACCACAAGCATGAGCAAACCAAAGAAAGAAAACCAGGCATTTCAAAACACATTCAATATATGAACTCGGAACATGAGCTTGAATTTGATAGCTTCTTTGCTGATTTCGTGCCAATAGCAATGCGAACAATCTCATTGATCGAAAAAGCATCAATTAAAGTCCACATATGATTTTTTACTGTCAAGCAGTCGGAAGAATGCGACCCTTCATACTGTTCAAAAGTCATAACGGTTGCAAAAGCTGCATTACCGAGTTTTGCGAGAAAAAAAACGCGGACGAAGTGAGCTTGATAACTCAGCAGTTGGCTCTGCAACAAAATCGAATAATCTGAATACGGAGTTCAGTCGAATACGAATTCGAATAAACATTCGAATAAACCCATGAATAAAATCTGTTCGAAACCCCGTTTTTTTTATTATTCGAGTTTTCGAATTTTATTCGAAACCCCGTTTTTTGATTATTCGAGTTTTCGAATTTTATTCGAAACCCTGTTTTTTGATTATTCGAGTTTCGAATTTTATTCGAAACCGCGTCTACTCAATTATTCGAGTTTCGATATTATTCGAAAATGGAGGAACTCCGAATATCGAATTTCGAATGCGAATATATTCGAATGTTTTATTCGAATGATCGAATTTTTATTCGATTCGGACCCAAGTATAGTGGGTACGGTAGGTAAACGATTGGAGATCTGACCTTATTGCCTGGGGCATACGTAATTCGATACGCTTTGAATAGTAGTACTCATTCGCCACAATTTGGCACTGCCCGATTAAAGGCAGTGTCCAGGCAAATCTGGGCATACGGGGTTCTGATGTGGAAAGTAATTCTGGGGCCCTAACTAAGACACTTCCCAAGCGGCAGCTCATATTTTGAACGCACAGCTGAGATATTCGCCTCCAAACTGGACCCCGGGATCGTATTCGCATGGATGGCACGATGCGCGAGGACCCACGCAAAACTGATGTGTCGCACCATGAATCCATGCGACATACGATCGTGGGGTCCAGTTTGGAGCGAATATCTCTGTGAGTTCACTATTTAAGGCAGTGTTTTAGTTGGGGCCCCAAGATTTTTCTCCAAGTAAGATCCCCACAGGCCCAGATTTGCCTGGACGCTACCTTCAAACGCCCAGAAGCTAACGTGTCCCAGCAACGCAGGACTGCAATTCCCCCTTTTCTCAAGCTAATTTTTCTGAATCGGAAAAATCATACTAATGATATTATGAAGCCGTACAACGGCAGAAAATAATTTGTCGCAGACGCATTTTCGGTACATCCTCCTTTTCTGCATAACAGTGCAGTATAGTGAACACTCACCTAAATGGCTCACCCGGCTCATTCGATAACTGGAACCCGAGACAGTCGACCACTAACAATAGCACGTCAGCGTATTCCAAATGTTTTAAAAATTTATAACCTTTGCCACGATTCCGTGATGCTCCTTCTATTAAACCTGCAATTGACTTTATAGTATGAACATTCCAGTGATTTACGGTCTACCTGGTAAGTCAGCAATAGACAAAGTAAAATTGTCCTCATCATTTTGCTTGCGCTTCTCAGCAACCCAGAAAGCAACTTGTGGCTTGGTCTGGGAATGATCAATTACCAATTATTCCGCAAAGTTGAACCTGGGTTTTACCGTAGTGAATGGATATGGTGCTATCTTGATGCTCTTTCTAGGCACAAAAGCTTTCATGAGAGTGGATTTTCCTGCGTTAGGGAATCCTACGAGACCGACATTTGGACGAAGTTTCAGATGCAGAGACACGTCGAAGTGTTCTCCAGGTTCACCTCTCAGAAAATATACTAACAAAAACAATAGAGATTTCCTCTTTGCTTCTAAAACGTACTTATATTGATTTCTTGCACTACCGCCATCACCTCCTCTAGCAATAAGATATCTATGGAAAGGTCGAGTGCACCTCGCCAACAACACATTACGTTCTTCGTCAACAGCTTCGACACCGACTGGGACATCGAAATACTGTAAAGAAGGAAGTTAGCTATAATCCAGTCCAAAGGTCGTACCTACTGTGTGCTCGCCATCGTCTCCAACGAGTTTGATTTTCTGACTATGACCTCCATTTTGAGCCTTCAACTTCATCTTTCCGCCGAGATTCTTCTTTATGTCGGTAAATGCCATGCTAGTGGATGCTGTTAGATATATACTGCCTCCATTTCCACCTCTTCCATCATACCTGAATCAAATTGCCAACCATCAACTGAAAGAGTGTCCTAAAATCCAAGACGGAGAATCCACTATTCTGAGCAAATCAAAAAAAATTTCAGTATTTCTTATACTTACACCTGCAAATACCACAAGAAAGTTTTCACACATAGTTCGATCATTGATGCCATCAAAACTCGATAAAACTTGACATAATAAATTTATCTATATATTCTTGCCTGGATTGCTTTCGCGAAAAATGGGTAAATATTTTCACTCTGATTTAGATAAAGAGTCGCGAAAGTTTTGCTGTTCAAAAAATGTTACCATACAGAAAGCTGAAAGATGATGATAACCTTACTCTATGCAAATTATTTACGTGAGAATTGTGGGATTATTACCGAGCCAGTCCATTTCCGCCTGATCCAGCAGAAACGTGAAGAGTAAACTTGTCCCTTTCAAGCACATTCTGATCCTGTTTGATAAGCCTTTGCACCTGCTTGATGGAATCCCGAAGAAAGACAGAACGCCGCATTTTCTGCAATTCAGGTTGTCGTTGAGGATTAGAGGTAGAGAGCAAAATGAAACGAATCATTGTGTCGTAGTAATGCGCCTAGCAACAAAGCTGAAAAACAAAAGGCAAATAGTAAAGGCTGAAAAATCCATTACACGGTATGTTTTCGATCTGACTTCCTCTGAAGATTTGACACTGCTAATCACTGTTTTGCCTTACTGCACAAATAAAATACCCGCTCGCTCTATCAAAGTGATGCGAATGCGATTTTTTGGAATGATCACCAACAAAAATTTAATTTCCTTTCGTTTCGATTCAAAGTACGCTTGACTCTGAATCAGAATTACAGCTCTACCCGACGCCACTATTTTATTTTCGGGCTAGTGAAAATATCATGAAAATGTTTTTGGTGTTTTCAATCAGCCATGGTTTTGTATATCATTATGAACAGTGTCACTATTGATCAACCAAACGTTCCTGCTCATGTTTCCATGGAACACTTAAATCTTGAATTCTGTGTCATGTCACCTACGATTCCTCAACCTATGATATTTTTCTCCATTCTTTGCATCACAAGGAAGCAAGTAAGGAACAACTGCTACTATAGCTTATCCCAAATGTATGGTTATACTGCCTTGTTAGTTACCAGTGCGTCACCTCTGCTTCGCAGAGGCTCGCACTGGCCCTACTTTCTATATGCCTTGCTCATTCCCGCATAATAGTGACATTGAAACTTACCGCGCTATGCAGGCTATCACGAATGAATTGTAAACAACTACTCATTCCGAGAGCTTTTTTGTGTGAGATCGGTATTTTCGCGTGGATGAAACTTTTCCGAGAAGGATAAATGCAAATTTGAACCGATTTTTGGACTTTTTATGGTTTAATAGTCACTATAATGACGATGATCACCGTGGGCTACATCTCTGTGCAAAAATCTTCCCAAATGATTAGGTAAAATCTTGGCAAATTGAACATTTACGCAACTGATTTTTCTCGGCGCCATTTTTGTAAAGTAATCAACTTTAGTTCAATTTTTTGGGCTGAAGTCCATGGCTTGCACATTAGCTTGTTAATCATATCCATGACTTTGCAAAAAGTGGTGGTACAGGCCCAATTTTGCTGTTCAGAAGCCCAGTGGATCCGTTTGCAGCGCAGTTTTTGAGGGACCCAGTCAACGGATCCGCTCGTGCTTTTGCATAGCGGACTTTCATACTGCTAGCATGCACCGTGCAAAATTTGGGCTCAAGAGGTTGGCTGGAATTCGCTCTACGAATTTCGTAACGGACAGACACACACACACACAAAAACACGTAAACAACCCTTAGCCCGTTATTATAAGTTATGATTATTTTGCCATTCTCTGTCTTTGTTACAAGGTACTATTTTTGAGATGGCTTCACTTGTAAATCATTGAAATGATTTTCTAAATATTTTGAAAGTCCAAATTAGCCTTGTAGCAATTTGCGGAAGTGTGACTGTCTCCGTGTCTCCTTTTTTCTAATGTTTCGGTGTTATGAGATGGTCAGAATCTTGGAAAGTATCTCAAAACATTTTCTATCGAAGTGCGTTTATGAATGAAAATCCTGAGACCGCCACTGCGTATACCGAAACAGCAATTTTCTCGCTGATCCTCAAAGTTCGATTATTGTCCAAATGACACAAGGTATGCGATGTTAGAAAAGTTTACACATGATTCCCTCACGAATTTTTTATGATGGCAGCAAATTCACAATTATTTTACTATGTGCTGGAAGTTTTTATCGTAAGTTTAAGTAATGACGAGCACCGTCAATTCACTCCATACCGTACACCTGAGAAAAAGTCACTCAATACGGTACGTGATGAGAGTTTCTAATTATGAGACAAGAAGACTTTAACCATCAGCAATGCACAAGAACTTTGCGGACATCCTGTATTTTAATTTTTCCAACAAATTGCCGATGAACTACCAGTGAGAGTGAAGTCAGCTGTGAAGCTACGAAAAAGCATCAAAGACCACCAAAGAAAGTGCACTGCAATGCAGAAGGGATGCAGCTGCAGTATGTAACCATTTCAAAGTCCATTCGAACTAAGGAATGCTTGATTTAACGGGGTATGAACTAAGCCGCTCCTTCACTGGCAGACAACATCGCTTTTTCAATAATGTCCAGTAAATTCTCTTGTGCAATATTTTTATGATGTTAATTCAACGAAGAATAATTTTCCTGAACAGTCCCACGAATTCCAAACTGGATCCAGGAGTTCTATGCTTTTAACCCCCAGAAGTTGAAGGCCATTGCCGGGCCAACATTACGGCCAAATTCAGGAATGAATATATAAAACTAACGTAGAGCTAGCTACAAAACAAGTCCGTCCTATGCGCGAGACGCTAGGCGACAGAAAGGAAAAAGGACCCCTAAGATTGTGAGTTCACAAAACTTAAAGACAATCCGGTTAGAAGCAACGTGATCTGTTCGCGCAGCTTGGTTTTACGATCACACTGATCCACTGCCCAGCTTGAATGAATTTAAATTCAAAAATTGCCAGCACACGCCTCAAACCGCTGATCTAGATTTTTTTCCGCGACTGAAGTTTTTTCCTAGACGATGCGAAGGCATTTCCCCACTCAAACGTATGATAAAAAAAAACTGAGTCCCTTAAGCTTGAGTGCATGTCCATCCAACCCTCTTTTTCCAACCTTCATCAAGCAAATTGATGGATTTATAACAGCAGCATATCTTTCCGCCTACATTCGCAACCACTAAAATTGGCAGAACGTTCTGGAAAGTAATTCTAGATAGATATGTCCATTCAAGAACTATGCGACAAGGCGAATATCCTGCTTATAAGTCAAGTGTTTCACGTGTTGCCAACAAATTGCCAACAACACTTTCCAAGCGCAAATGTTGTGGTTACCGTAGCTTATGTTCATTGCAGATTACAGACGGTATCGCACATCTCCTATCTTTATCATGAGCAACTATGTTGTGTGTCCTACCATTCTCCCATACATATTACCACCGGTGCATTTGAGCTGCCTCTGGCCAGTCTTGGAAGCCTGCAAACCGTGGTGCCAATCTGCCAACGCAACAAAGGCCAACTGGCCTGCGTTGCGTTCCGCAAATAATCATAGACAGACTTTAGTCAATGGCACACGCTCCACTAGGCCGTCCCATACTTGATCCACTAAATCCACTTCGATATTGGTAAATCAATCAACCGGCTTAGGGGCAGATGTCCACTTGATCCACTTCATCCACCTCGCTATTGGTCAGTTCAATGATTTGACCAATAGCGAAGCGAACAGAGTGCATTCGGATCAAGTGGATAGAGTATGGCGTGTGCCTTATAGATTGAACTAACGGTTACCTACGAATATTCACTATTCTGCAAAAATCTTATCTAATGGAAATCTTGATTATATAGCCGGTTAGTACCACAAAATGCAGGATTGATATTGGTTGGGCGCATGTCACATAGCACAAAACGCTAGAAAAATCAGTTTTTGGATATGATCATCAGGGACAAAGAGAAAGAAAGTAGAACATGCTCTTGGAAGAATGGATCTATGCACCAAGTGCGTAAATGATGAAGCAAAGGAAACGGTTCGAAGTGTAGGGCGCTCTTTAAGAGACATGCAAAGAAAACTTTTGATAAAACTAGAAAAGATATAAGGAGAAATTTGACAGAGGGCAAAAAACCAGACAGATATGCTTGTGTGTGTGAAAACTTGAATTGGGTTGCTAATTGTTAGCAGGCGCGCCCTAGAGTCAGTTTACGCGCTGTCGGGAATTTTTTGCAGAATGTGTGTGAAGTGGCTGTGATGACTTGCGAAAATGGCTTACAAATGGATTTCAGTAGCTTTCTTCACTGCTTTCCTGAGATAAATCTGGATAGGAGTTGGTAATTTCCTGCTTCCAATAAGATCGACTGTCAGCAATTCGATTTTGACGTCCCTTTCGTATACCGTAGTGTATGCAACGTGCTTTCCACGCTGTGTCAGTCGATGATCATATTTTCCCCTTTGTTCGTGAGCTTCACATCTAAGCAAAAAAGCTTTGGATTCCATTGCTTTGCATTTCTTTCTTTATTCCGCTATCTCCGTTCCCATCGCTAGGTGTTTCGAATAACTCTCTACTCTGCTATTTTCTTGCTTCCATCTGGTTGCCCTTTAGCATTTTTATAGTACTTGAGGTGTTTAGGCTATGGCCGATAAGGCCACGAACGGGAAGGTCGATAACGATTCCGTTGTGAAGTCGGTTCAAATTGGTGACGTGCCAGATTATTGCAATTCTTCAGGTCAGCACTTCTCACTTCAAAGTGCATTTGATAACAACATGCATTTTTGAATTGTAGTGTACCAGTTGAATTCGACACAGAAAGTGTGCTTTCATGATGCACTTGACAGTATTAGGTTCTGATACACGATCTTATTGTGCTCACAATGACTGCGAACTGTTTCACTGAATTGTCACCATGCTACGTACTTAGTTTTATAACGAGTGGGAGAAATTACGCGGATCATGTCATTATAAGGAATACACGGTGTCATTTCGTCGTTTAACTTGTTTGATTTCGTCTTGATAATAACATATGGGTGCAGCTACGCTCATCCTGTAAATAGTTTTGGATCCACAATGTCTTCGGAGCCCGACTCGCCAATATGCCAGCACGGGAATCAATCATTTACAAAAGTTGAGTAAAGAGCTCAGCGTTACGTGATAAACTCGAATAGGCTAATGTGTGGGATTGCACATTTTCCGGAATGCGGTGGGTCCAGAAATTTTTCTCTTGCTTTGGGATTTGTTAATTTAGGCAGTATGTCCAAAGTTTGAGTAATTGCTCATCATACATCGTTCAGTCGGAGATCTGCGGTCAGCATCTTGATAAATGTGCAGTTGCATACATTAGCAACCTACTCGACTGTACGTCTAAGGGAACGGCCATAGGTTGCCGGCAACGGTTGTCGAGATTGCCGGCGTTGCCGGTCGTTGTACTCATGATAGTCTCCACTTTTCGCGCGCTCCCTAAGGGACCCGTCATACTTCGCCGAAAAAGACTCAAAAAGACCAATAAAGCCCGAAAAAGTCCAAAAAAGTCGAAAAAGCCCAAAAGCCCAGAGAGAGCCGAGAGAGTCGGAACGCTTCCTCGCAAGTTTTGGCGTTAGGGTATGTGCGTTGTGTTCGCAAGCCGGTCCTTTCACTTGATTATTCTTCTTGTTGTAGTCTTTCTCTTCTTGTACCTCAAAAATTGCAAGGGGGCGTTCCGGCTCTTTCTGGCGCTATTGAGTTTTTTTTTTGCTGTTTGGACATTTTGGGCTTTTTTCAGCGAAGTATGGCGGGTTCCTAAGCTGTCTTTGACCCCGGCAACCCCGACGAACTCGGCACCTATGGCCGTACCCTAAGGCACGCGCCCTAGTTGATCCACTTGAATCGCTTCACTATTGGTTAGACCAGCTTGATCCACTTCATCCATCTCGCTATCGGTCAGTTCAGGGTGGGGGAACGAAAGCCGCCAGGTCCAGCCGCCTTTCGCGGCCAGCTGGTCCTTTCGCAGCGTTGTTGCATGTCGTTCCAGGACCAGCAGTCCGCGGAGGCGGCTGGACCTGGCGGCTTTCGTTCCCCCACCCGTCAGTTCACTGATCTAACCAGTAGTGGAGTGGATCAGGCGGATCAAGTGGATCAACATGAATCACTTCACTATTCGTTAAATCAGCTTGGTCCGCTTCATCCACTTCGCTATCGGTCAGTTCACTGATTTAACTTGTAGTGAAGTGGATCAGGCGGATCAAGTGGATCAACTATGGCACGTGCTTGGACATTCAATGTTTAACATTCATCCGCATTTTGTAATCATTCAGTGTCCTTGCCTGCAGTTTGTTGAGCCTGATCATTGCAGTCAGCGGTTTGCACGGTGAGCGTAGACGCGTCGTAAGTCTGAGGAGACGGACGGCCAAAGGTTGTCGATGTTGTCGGGGTTGCCGATTGCCGGTCGTTGTAGGACCTCATGATAGCTTCCACGTTTCGCGCGCTCTCTAAGGCTCTGGCCACACTTCGCTCAAAAGCGCCCAAACTTCTCTGACCTCTCCACACTCTCTCTCATCTCTCCTCACACGAGAATGAAGAGACATGAGAAATTTGGGGCTTTTGAGCGAAGTGTGGCCAGGGCCTAAACTGTCTCTGACCCCCGACAACACCGACAACATCGACAACACCGACATCCTATGGCCGTTCCCTGAGAGATGTACAGACGCATAAATCTATTAATCTTTTGTGATAAGTAATTTTCATGCGATCCTCCTGTTGCATATTGGAAAGGGTTTTGAGTATGTTGAATGTCTTTTTTAACACACTTGAGACTTCAGTTCTGGTTGAATGAAGATAAACTTTATGAAGCGGAGCGGTAAGCACGTTGTAGTAAATGTTTTCGTCCTGCTTTTGTGCGTCTAAGTGATAGTCTTGTTTATAATTTCAATTTCTGTATTCACACGCATAAGCTATGTCACTTCTAGGTTCCTCTGTGAATGAACTAGTCAATGGCACCTGTTCACATGCATCGCCATCCCCTCCGGCAGCTCGCAGGCGGTTACGCACCATGAGTGGATCAAGATCTGAACATCATCTCCTTACGACGAGATCGGGCAGGGTAATTCGTTTTTTCCTCTGCACGCTGCTGCACAGCATGCACTACATCATCACTGCCACTTTATTCGATTTGAAAGAGTAGCGCTTACAAAAGACTTTTTTCCCTAAGTAAGTCTTCATCTATTTTTTGCACCGATTCACTAGGTTGTCGCATTATGGAGCCTTGTAATTTATGTGTGATGTTTAGCACAAGAAATCTTGCGTATCAAAAGGTTTGGGTATGCTTTTTCGATTTCTTCCGACGTTTGATAATGCGCCATTTTGGTTGAGGATGCGGACCTAGTTGCCTATGATTCGGAACTAATCCGGATCGAAGTGTGGTTGAATATCACGTCATCTATTCTTGCGACCGCTATCGTGTTCACGGTGGCGGCGAGCGCCAAAACTTTGCGCACTCTTTCCTAATCAGAAACCGATCCGGATTACGGAAAACTTGAACACTTCCCTAGCTATCCAGACTGATAGTGAATAGGAGTTAGATTAGTAGGGACTTCGCTCATCACATTCACTGCCACGAGCCTTGATTACATCGATTATAACATCGGTCAAGTTGAGTGCTTCTTTGCTTAATAGAAACGTACCCGGTTCCATAGTATTCATGGCTGTTTAAGACTTCAAAAGCGAAAAAAAGCTCCATCGTGCGATAAGTCAGGTTCACCAGGTAATGCTCTCCCAGATTTACCAGGTAATGCTCAGAAGCACCACTTTTCAAACCATAACTCGGTAAGATGTGGCAGCTAAGATAGTTCATCGCTTCTGTGCGCACCCTATTGCACCTGGTGGAATGATATACTCACAATCTCTTTTATTAGAAATCTAATTTACAGTAGCTGCGAATGCTCTTTGTCTAATCTAATCTTTTCTGTTTTGGACAGGATTTGTTGCTAACAGGCGGAATGAAGTGCATGCGGTCAGCTGCAAGGTGTGTTTACCTTCTTGCAAATGAGTACTAACGTCCCATTTCTTATCGAAAAGTGTGTCCTGTAGATCTCAAAACTTTTGATGCATCTAGTGCATGTTTTACAGCGGCAGTCCTAGAGCTCACAGCGAACTATCACAAGAAAAGTGCAGTTTCCTCGTAAATTAATGCATGTTTAACTTTCTGACGTCTGCAAAACAACCAGCTTACTCGTTATGTTTCCTACTATCTCCTTCCATACTCTGTTTTCACTTGATGATTAATTACATATGTTTTTATCATCATATCTTTCTTAACGTAGAGTCGAATAAATTGTACTACTTCCAGAAGATCTACACGAAGGGACGGCCGCCTTGGTATGACAAATTCGGTAACACACTGAAACAGCCTTACTTGATAGGGATATGCGGCGGGTGAGTTCTGCGCGAAATTTGAGTTTATTCTAAGGTCATCCGAATCTGCTTTAGTTCTGCTAGCGGTAAAACGACTGTCGCAGAGAAAATCATCGAAAAACTCGAGATTCCTTGGGTTACCATTCTAAGCATGGATAGTTTTTACAAGGTTGTATTTTAATTTTACTCAGCATTTTGGCTACCACATTCTCCAACTTAGGTCTTGAGTGAGGAGGAGCACAAGCTTGCTGAGCAATCGAATTACAATTTTGATCATCCGAATGCTTTCGACTTTGATCTTCTGTTCGAGGTAACGAACTCAAATTGTAGCGATCGTCATAATATGCCTATTGCAGGTTTTGACGAGACTTCGTGAAGGGAAGAACTGTGAAGTCCCCGTGTACGACTTTACCACTCATTCTAGGGACAATAATCCGAAGGTCAAATCAATTTTTCTTGTCTCTGGGAATTTCCGAGATGGAAGATCTCAGAGATCAGTGGCGCAGTGAAGTAAATATTTTATCGGCTCTAGACATAGAGGAGAAAACGATAGGTTCCGTTGTGTAGTCATTATATGAGGTCGATGCGATATTGTTTCCATCTTCCGGATGCCGACGTCCTCTTACAGATGATGTACGGCGCGGATGTACTAATTTTTGAAGGAATTCTTGCATTTCACCGCCCCGAAATCACTGCTATGATGGACATGAAAGTAAGATCAATTCTTGATCGTTTTATAGGAGTTCCTCGGTTATACTTTTTCCTACAATAGTTGATTTATCAAGGTGTTTGTGGACACAGATGGGGATGAGCGTTTGGCTCGTCGTTTGAATCGTGACATAAACGAGCGAGGTCGTGATACGATAGGAGTACTGGACCAATATTTTCGATTTGTCAAGGTATATCACTAAACTAAATGCACCCTTTTTATTAAAATTTGTTTCCATACTGCAAAAAAGCAGCTTTGTACATCGAGCGGCAGCTGCCATGAGTTATCGATTTTGATTTGAAACAATATTGAGCAGGGCAATTCGTACTACTCACGCAACAGTTCGCAAGAGTGATGTTTATTATTCTCTCAAGCAAACTAATTGTTGCAGTTTGAGGAAAATAAGCTCGTCATGTGACAGCAGTATAGTCGAAGAACTAGTTCTTTTCCAGCCGGCTTTTGAAGCCTACATAGCACCAGGGATGAAAGTTGCCGATATCATCGTCCCAAGGGGAGGCGACAATGACGTGGCGATAAATCTGATCGCAAAGCAAGTGAAGACTCAGCTCATCAAACGGGGTAGGTGTCGGCTAGATTGTCCTTGGCACGATTTGCTGCTGATTTTCAGGCTACGACCAAACAGCTGCTTCGCAGTGTCGCCAAGAATTAGTCAACATGGACCAACTACCAGACGAGCTACCGGAAAGTCTAACCATTATTCGAGAGACTCCCCAAGTGCGCGGTCTGCACACATTCATTCGAAACAAGAATACTAAACGGTAATCATGAATTCTTCTTCTGGAACTTAGTATTTTTAGGACAACTGTAACACATAGGTGTAGTAGCTTGCGATAGAAAGTAATGCAATCAAGCAACTTTACGAGTTTCATCATTTCGCGTTTCTTGCGCACCATCTTTTTTGCTGGACGTTTAAGTAACTTCCTCATAAGGTGATAGTAAGTGAGATAGGGAATTTTTGTGTGTTTCGGATATATGATGACACTTTATCATGTCAAGCGCAACTGTTAGAAGCTTTCTTCTGCTCGTGTCGACGCTGGACGCGCTGAACGATTTTGTGATTATCTTCCTTAGTATAGAGGAAATACACATCTTTGTTTTAGTGACGAACTCATCTTCTACTCGGAACGTCTTACGAGAATTCTTGTTGAAGAGGCGATGAACTTCATGCCTTATAAGGATGTAGAAGTGGAGCTAAGCAACGGCCAAAAGTGAGTACTTTTTTTAGTCTCAGTGCAATAATCTGCGTTTGTTTTTAGATTTATGGGACGGCGGCAGTCAGCTAAAATTTGTGGAATTGCTATAATGAGAGCAGGTGAAACGATGGAGAATTCACTTCGTGCTGTAGTGAAGGACTGTAAGGTATGTAATTTCACGCCTATTTGACCTTCGCAAATACATTTTATTCAGTGGCTGTCTAACTAATCCTTGTATTACCTCTCTCATCTGCTTATCTTTCCAGCTGAAAATAGAAATGTCAGATCTTGTAATAATACCAGTATATAATTTAGATGGGCAAAATCTTGATACAAACGAATGATCAAACAATGGAACCGGAGCTGTATTACCTTCGACTTCCAAAAGACATTGATAAGTACAAGGTCATGCTAATGGATGCTACTGTCGCAACAGGTTTGTATTTTACAGCTCGATTTTTGGTTTATTTAGCAAATGCTTGTATAGAAGCGATTTTTTTAGGAGCTGCGGCCATGATGGCCATTCGCATTCTTCTGGATCATGACGTTCCAGAGGAAAATATTTATGTGCTTTCTTTACTGATGTCTGAGCCAGGGGTTCATGCTCTCGCTTATGCCTTCCCAAAAGTTAGTGGTGATTCAGGCATCCATTCGACTAATTGGTAGCCGTTTCGCACACAGTTGACTTCGGAGTTTAGGTCCGCCTCATTACAACTGCTGTTGATCACCAACTTTCGGACAACTTTTACGTTCTTCCGGGAATGGGTAATTTTGGCGATCGTTACTATGGAACCTACGTGAGCGATCCTGAGGGGGAGGAGCCGTTCTGACTGTCGATTACTTGAACGTCGGTTGTTTCTTTTTCCTAGATAGTTTTCTTTCTACTTTCTATGGGTTTTTGCTTCATTCTTTTCCAAGATTTTATTAGTTCACTAGTTGCTATTTTTCCAAATTATGTTTTCCGCTTTTCATTTTTGCACTGTTTGGTATCGGTAAATTTCTACGGTCACTTCTATCTAACAGTCACATTGTTGATTTTCTGTTCCTTGTCAGAAATCTCCTGTTTTTCGCATGGGTACTTTCTTCGGTCATTCAGTATTCACTAAATACATTTACATGACATGAGTGCATTTCCATGACAGTTTCGCTTTCGCTTTTGCATCTTCGCAATTTTCACGTTGTTGCATCATCACCGTTTTGCATGACATCTTTGCTGTTATCTATTTCGGAAGAATGATAAATTATTTGACGATCGCAATGTTTTCCTCATTGGTTACTACCACAGAACCTATTTTTGTATATCCATGGTATATTCAAGCACTTGGATCCTCAGTTGATTTTTTGAATAATCGAGCACTGTTTGCATATCTAGCATCGAGCTGTCAAAATCTTTGTACATTCATTCAGCGTGTAAAGAAAGCGGTCGGAATCAAGCATATCGCTCTGTGGAAAAGTTTATTAACTTACCACGGAGTTGACCCTATTTCATGTTTGTAGTGCTGTGAAAAAAAAGCGCGTGTTTGAAAATTTGTGCTTGAATAGTTCTCTTTTGATATGCACTATGGATGTAGTGACGTATGATATTTTCCGTTTTCGTTCTTAAGCTCTCTTGGAGTTTCTGGCAATGCTGTTTCGACATTGTTTAGTCGGCATTGCTCATGGGAAATTTTGATGTAGTAGACTTTGCACTTCGATGAGTATGTGAATTTGTTTTTACGCTGTAACCTTTTTCCCAAACGTCGAACTCGCTGACAGTCTTTCAGATATAATACTAGTACCATGATGAATATCCTAAGTGGAATGATGGGAATGGGAGGCGGTCTTGGTGGCCATTATAGTTGCACAATGCGAGCGTATTCAGCTGTATTTTTTGACGCAGATGCAGCCAAGGTTAATGAACTCAACCATGGTGGAAAGGTAGTTTTATAGTATTTAGATAGTCGAAACCTTTAAGGTTGTTTTCAGATATTGCTGCCAAATTCCACATTAGATTACCTCATCCGTTATAATGTGCCGTATCCCATGCTTTTCAAGGTAAATGCTCAGCTTTGCAGGAATGTTGCGTATGTGCTTCCTTTTTAGGTAGCATCTATTGGTGAAAATCCTCGGGCCACAAACTGCGGAGTGTTGGAGTTTTCTGCTCCCGAGGGAAAATGTTATCTTCCTCAGTGGGTGAGTTCTGCTGTTCATTTACAATGACTAAAAACATGATTATAACGTCTTTGTATGACTGCTGCGAATTGATCACTTTTGCTATGTTGCTGCTTTGTTTAACCTTGCTTATATATACTTCTGTATATCTAAGCAGACATTTTTAAACTTTTCCTCTATCTTACTAATCATCACCGATTAGCATTCTTGGCAGTTTTTATCTCTCTATTTTTGTGACTGCAACTTTTCTATCTCGAAATGCTCCAGAAACTTGCGCGTGACTTAGCTTGGTCGCAAAGAGTGAGGTTACCTTGTGATTCAAGTTGCGCTATTGAAGGATATTGAGTTCATCGCCTTATCAATAGTTTTGAAATACCCTTCTAAGTTAAGTCGCTTTTGACATAAAAAGAACATTCTTCGTTTCTCACCGGTTCCCGGTACAGGACGCTTTGATACCTTACCGTCGGTGGCAGAAACTCAGACTTTCGGTTGCGTACCAGCGGCGTACCTAAATGGCTTTGCGTACCAGCGGAGGGGTGTAGGCCGGAAAGCGACAAAACCCAGTTGGAGCGAGCGCATGGAGGCCACGCCCCTCATGAGCGCCTGTGACACCGAGCGCGAGGTCAACCAGGCCAGAGACTGACGCTCTTTCTGCACATGCACTGGCGCACTAATGGTAGCAGCATTTTTCGGAGTTCCTATAGATTCCTTGTTGCCTAGAGTTAAAAATCTGGGCTAAGCAGATTAGGAGTAGATGTGTCACTTGCAACCTGTTTATCTCCTTGTTGATACTTTTCCATAAGTTTGGTAGTGCAACTTTCGGTCCTCTCAGTTCAAGATTAAAAAGATCAAGCATTATATGTAGACCCACGAAACATGCTATTATAGCTTTGGAACAATGAATGAACATAATCGTATTTGACTCTCAAAAAGACGGGTTATAAGCAGATCAATTTCTTCGAAAATGCGTTCTTTTGATCTAGGAGTGCAGTTCTTCCGCGCCCTTCATTCTTTTGAATTACGGAAGTCGATTTGTCACATTCAGATTCATAAATCATGCATCGCAACGACTGAGCATGTCAGGAACGGTAATCAGGACATAATAAAGGCAGAGTGTGGTACTGTTCAAACAGACAAGATAAATCAAAACGATCATATGTTGCAAACTCCCTTTCGGTGGAAAAAATACAGATCTTTTTGCCAAACCAAAATTGTCTAATTACTCAACCCGCTTAACAAACTCGCATTCTGTCCATGTAGCAATTCTATGACCTTTCTCGTGCTTTTCTGCGCTGTTCTGTCCTACAGTTTGAACGGTAATTTTTATTCTCAATGAAAAAAAAACAGCGATGCTAACAATAAGAAACAAAAGAATGGTTATTATCATTAACACATTACAGTTGTTGCAAGCGACAGCTTAAATAGAAAAAATTGAACTGCTCGAATAATCTCAAAATCGAGATCCCACCGTAGAATGCGTCCTTGCTCAAAGTGCTCCGAATTTTCTTCTATGTTCAGCCTGAAAAAAAGTCGTATTGTAAAGAAGATGCAAAAGAATAATAGCTCACCTTTACCTGATGCAAATGGCTTACAGTACCGTTGTTGAGTATCTTACATTCTATCCGTTCGATATCAGCAACTTGGACGAGGTCTGCACAAAAACTATTGTCATATAAAAATATGGTATAGTCACCTAAATACCTAATGAGAAAACACAAAAGTATCACATCAGTAAAGAACGTAGATATCTACTAACCTCTTACTAGGATGATTTTTTATTGTACTATACATATTGCTGCAGCCTGAAACAAAATTTCTTACAAAAGAAGTTTTGAAGAGCATATGCTTACAGATAGGCAAATACAAAAGAAAGCAAATCATCACATTATCACAGTGGGAATAATATATGTACCTACACACGAAACAAAAACATGCTAAAAAACCACGTGAGAAAAAACGACGAAGCCAGAGATAGAGAAAGCCATGCGCGATGTGTATAAAGGCGCCCCAATCCAAATATGCAGAGCATCCTAACAACGGGAAACTCGGACAGGGCGTGGCCACTAGCTGCGCCTGTTCTAGGTCATTTGTCGCCTTCCGGACGTTCCCCCCAGCGGAGTGCGCTTAACGTACCAATGGCGTTCCTTAATGCGCCCTACCAGCGGCGTACCGTCTTTGGCGAGCGGCGTTCCATCAACCCAAGGAAGCGAGCGGCGTCCCATCACATTACTCCAAGCTGTAAGCTTAAGCCGTACCCGTATGGGATACGACGCAGTGGTTGAGCCGCCTCAGCATTTTAGTAGTTAGCTTACACTTCTCGGCACTTGACAAAGGAATAAGATTGAGTTGTTGTTCTTATTGAGTGACCTGATAACACCTCAGCTGGGTGTTGCAGGGGTGGCCCACAATCTTCTGATTTCGATTCAATGAAGTCCATCGATCGAAAAGGTAGCATTTTTTGCGCTAATTTCGGCCTTATAAAATTTGTCGATTTAGCAATTTTCAAACCAGCTAATGCTGCAATTAGTACAGTAACCAAAAATCGGGTGAACTTGCGTCCGAAGGCGTACCCTCTTGGCGTACCAGCGGCGTACCATTCTCCTGCCAGCGGAGTTCCACAGCGTACCAGCGGCGTGCGACTGCCCTACCAGCGGCGTTTGCGTGTTGCGCTTAGCGGACAGTCGAACGCCGCTGGTACGAACGAAAGTCGGAGAAGTTTAGATTTTTTACCAGAAAGTTTAATTTCTTTACCAGCTTCGAATTGTTTCTGGGTTTGGACTACCTACAATATCTAATACAAATATCGCTTACAAAATTCTTGAAATGTTGTCTTAAAATAATCCTCAGTTTTCGCGCAATCGGGTAGAGAGTTTGCTGTCGCAGTACTTGCTTACAGTCATTCTTCTCATGGTCAGATCAGAATAGGTGTTTGCGTTTTAGATGATGAAACAGCTCCGTATTGACGAAGGCGCTGAAGTTCGAGTTGACTCTGTAACCCTGCCGTCTGCTACTTATGCGAAACTGAAACCACAGTCTTTGGAGTTTTTGAACATCAGTAATCCGAGGTTTCTCTATCTTGCTTAGCTTGACGTAAAATTTGCATGGATGTTCCAGGGCCGTCTTGGAGGTCGAATTGCGAAAGTTTGCTTGCCTGACTAAGAATGACATGATCGCTGTTATGGTGAGTGCTCTTTTCGAACTTGGTGTTGGATCATCAATGAGAAAATAGTTAACACACTCTGTGTCGTTCATCTGCAAACAGTGCAATTGACATAACCCTCAGACGACATTGACCTCTTCGCAAGCACTGCTTAATCTCAGTGCCGCAACAGCTTCCTGAGCCTAGTTTCTTGCGTAGCAGGGTGCTTCTGTAAGACCGGTCCGCTCAGATTCTACGCTAGGCCGGTACTTTATATTTGCGTTTGAATCCTATGTTCAAGTAGCTCTTGAAAAAGGACTGTACTAGAGGAAAATAGCAATCGTTTTTTTACTGCGTTCAATTTGCAGCCAAGAAGACCGCATCAGAAATTTGGCAGTTCACACGCTGTTCAAAGGTAGTGCTACTCTAAAGACTTTAGACTTTTCGAGTTTTAGCAATAAAACTTCTGGTAAGCTTCAAAGCTTCTTTTGCTATTTCAAAAAAATTGCCGAATGTGTGGTAGGGATAGACCCATTGACGAAAAAGTACTATTAGTTTAAGGCAGTTTGAGATGTAAATCAGATGCATATTGCTTAGTGTAGCATCAAACGCTGATATCAAATCTGTGTGCGTTCTTCGGATCAAAAAAAAATCACAGTTTATACAAGTTCTCAAGCTAGATTCGGCGCATCCAACAGGTTCAGAAGTGAGGAGGAGGGGGAGAGGGGGGAGGGGGGAATGAGGGGTTGAAAGTTTGCCGGAACGTTGCTTTTAGTTTGCGAGTTTACACCATAGTCAGCGCTCTATGAATCAGCAAGGCGTTTAATATTGCTAGGTATTTATCGCGATTCCGCTATGATTTGAACTGATTATCGTTCAATTTCCGAATGAAAGAGGATACTCATTGTTGCAAGGAACAAAGAAGCCAAAAATACGCGCATTGCGTAATGGTTATGTGAAAGACTTTGTACATATAACGCTGATTTTCTCCAAATTGTTGGCAAGATTCATAGTATGGTTCATTCTTAAAATCATGATGGAGTCTGACTGCGGTCTTTGCGCGCACACAGCAAAAAACACCCATACAGACAGCTTAACGACTTGTCAACTTAACGCCGTGCTCAGTTACTTCCAGTGTCTGAATCTATCATATGTAAGCAGAAAAACCATTCGAGTAGAGATAACCAAGAAATGGAAGACGACGGTGCGACCGTGCGTGTGGCGCGAGGTCGCGCCATCGTCACAATTTTTCTAGTGCCCTATATATTCTACAGGCATCATCTGTAGATCTGATATCACATTCTTCCATGCATTTCGTGGGGAGATTAAAAATGCTTCAGCTTTTGTACATGATGCCTAGCTGTTTGGTTTGTGGTCCACTAGCCCAAACACCTCCGAAGTATTCTATATGTGCAAGCGGGTTCCCGGTAAATGCAACAGAAGAGCAAACCAGTGGGATTTTTACGCTTGAAGATTGGCGAGTTTTGTGAGAATATATGTCCCGCTCCTCTGCTCAATAATTCCCTTCGTTAAATGCAAGAGGGCAAAACGAGGGGTAGGTTGAAGACGCTGTGTCACATTTTAGGCCATGATGTTTGAATTGCCTGATTTTTTGCATGTGGGGAAATCACTTCCATGAGAAAAGTGGACGGGCATTAGAAATAATACTTAAGTCGCATTGCAAATCAAACTAATCGCCTTGTAACCACTGCCTTATTCGGCCTATCTGCAGATATAACATTGCGAAGCTGCCGTTGATGTGCATTATTACCGCGAGAAAACTGGTAATAAGCTGGGTGCCAGCAGTGCAACTTTATTTGCGCATTTCAGCGCAGTGATACGCTTTTATTGATTTCTTTTCTTCCTAATCCATTATCATTCATACTTTTCATTTGCAGTATGCAGATCAAGTACTCGAGTTTTTGGTGCAAGAAGTAAAACCCAGCAATGCAGTGTGCATCATCGAATGCGACCTTAATTTGGACTTTGACGCACCCGAAGGTTATGTTGAAGAGCCCAGCACCACTCGACAACCGTCTACCTTCAAGGTTGTTTTTTCTTATTTTGCAAAAAATTTGTTTTTGGTTTCTAAACGTCTTTGTTTCGATTTCAGCCTCCTGCCCCTGTTATGAAGTCTGTACCAGCGGCGAACGGTGCTCACTTCTCAGCATTTTCCGGATCTGGGCAGCGTCTCGATGGGAAGAAAAAGCCGTCTTCGAATAGCTTGTGTAGCGATCAGGGAGAGGAACTGCTTAATAATTTGACTTCTTTACCTCCAGTTGTATACATTGAAGACTACAAGCCAGGTGAGATTTTTCTTCAGCTTTGCTTTGATTATCCTGATTAGGATTCGAATGTTCAGGGAAGTTATCATTCATTCGATACGATTATAAGTCGCGTTTCGAAACCGAACGTGAAATGCAGGAGTCGAAGCAATCCGCCGGCAGAAAAGCCGTGCCTTTTGAAGGATCGAGTGCTACCATAAAAAGGAGATATTAATAGAATCTAGTAATCCGAGTGTTTTGAAGCATCATCGTACCGTTCTGTTATGTATTCTTATTGCTGCACTGCTGGGGCTTACCTTGACGCCACCACTTCATTCCTTCTTTTCTTTACAGAAATTTATCGCAAAACGGTTGCGATGATTCTCATATCTTTCTGCCGCATTAAAATTTGTAAAGCGGAATCTGAAGTATTGTACTTTTATGTAAATAAATGAGACTACGACTTTATTTTAATAAATTGTTCTTGATACCTCGGGTACGTATCACATGCAGACGTGGAAAATATGTTTGATTTTTGTTGCGCAAATCCAAAAAACATCAGTCAGCGAACTTTTCTCAGCTTTCTGATTCATGTTCTTGAAAGCAAGACACTCTTTCACCCCTCTCCGTGCCGTTTTTGGTTTCTCTTCTTTTTTTAAAAGGTCGGCTTATAGCTCAACTGTGTGTGACATATTATTCCACCAAGCCTGATCTGAGAGGGTTGCAGTCGCAATACTTGTCGTTCTGATGGTGCCATTAATACCTGCACCTTTGTTGAGGAGTAGCGAAACCGTCTCTGAATTCAGTTATCAAGTACTATGTTGTAGATTAGTGTCTGTGTCTGTGTCTGTTACTGTCTTCGTTGGTTCAGAATTAGCTTTGAGATGCGTAGGTGTACTGCAAGCGCTGTCCTTTAAGAAATTGGTGATCCTTAGGTTTCTCCGGATAGTTCGACATAAGTACCAAAACAAAAATAAATTTGGATTCCATATAAACTGGCAAAAATGCAGTTTCACCCAGTTGCGGGATTGATTAATTGAATTCTTTCGTCGCAAACGAGAGGAGTCTCTACGGCTTTTGATATGGTAGTGACTTTGAGATATTCTGGAAATTACCAGCCCGCGGATGCATTTGAGGAAGAGTTGTGAATTCTATTACGAAGAAGTTGCTGCGGCGCCTGCTGCTGCGGCATAACAGGTTGTGATCAGAAAACCCACAGAAACTACGTATAATCGTTTAATGATCCAAAGCTATCACGTACATAAAGACTGATTTCTACTCGTTGTTTCTGTAACTACATATTTCTAAACGTGAGTCAGAAAGTTTGGAGCCAGATAATAAAAGAAAGCCTATAGCCCCTTTTTGGGCATTCAAGCGATCCGCTTGGGAAATAATTTTCCTAGCCAGTTCAATTCACTGTCTATATTTATTACATGCTACCATAATTTGAAGTGCTGATGCTATGTGCGCGGTACAAAATCACATCATCAATGACCCTGCTCGTTGTTACTATCACTTGTTTAGATGGAACGAAGATGGCAGTCCTAAATCAAACTTATCCTAGTCCGATTTCCAAGGTTTCGCAGAACATTAAGCGAAGAGTGTATATACGTAAACAAGTTAGAGCTTCATAAAGATTTTCTAGGCAGGGTTCTGAACTTTTCTTTCGACTTTTCTGTCTAAAATGTTTCATATTTTGATTCTTCTCAAGATAGAATTCTAACCTGTGCAAAAGTTTAAACTCCATTGTAGAGGTTGCTCTGTTTATCGAAAGGCACCTAGAGCTTTTCCAAAAGTCAAGAGAAAAGGAAGTTCAAGAGATGAAAGATGAAAACGGACGAAACTTATGGTGCAACCTAATACATGGTAGTCAAGTTACACGATAACTTCCATTCGTACTTGTGGGCTGCTGACCGAACTTTTACTGCTTGCTAAGACGAACAGCTCAACGTATGCAGAGTGGAGGAAAAATACTGCCCATGCAGTTAAGCTTGGAAAATTGGCTTGTCCGTAAGTTTTTTTTTGATAAATCTCAGATAAGTAGCAAGGAAAAATATCAAGCAATCTACGATCTCCTCAATAGCAAGACCCTATTCACACCATATCGCATCAACATACCGCTCTGCTTTCAAGGCATGAATGTTACAGGAAAATCCTTATGCTTCCAAAAAGTAGAATATCTCATATCACATGTCACATCATATTTCAACTTCTGTAATGTTTTGTCTGATTCGAATCATTTCTCATTTAAGAAAAGATGGGTACTTTTCCGTTATGCGGATCCATTTCTTCAGAACGGCCTCATAAAATACGCCAGCTAAATGTAAGTTGGATGCTTATTACATTGATGACCAAGCCATTTTATCAATTTCTGCCGTTTCAGGCATAAGATTCATCAATGTGTACTTTCTTGTCTTTCTTCACCGATATTAACATAGTCCGAAATTTGGTCTCCTAATAGCTCATCTAGATGTCCCTTTCATTTTTTCCATTTTTCATTTTTCATTCGTATGCTCGAGGCGTTCCAAATTAAAAACAATGAAGTGTTAGCCATACATGGAACACAACAGCAACAAAAACAAATCGCCACGTCGTCCTAAGCCCAGTCTAGTCTTATTAAGAAAAAACAGTGTAGTAATAATGTAAAAGCTTGCAAAACTTGTATCTCGATTGCAGATAATCTTGCGCTAGCATAGACTCTATGGAGAAGTACCATGCCCCATCGTTTGCCAGCAAGGAACGATCTTTATATTATTCGTAAAAGCAAACCGGAAGTTTGGGTGGCAGATATACTAGCAAACCCCGCTCAATACGGTTTGCTGGTGAAGGTCCTGAGCTCCAAGTATAAGGCCTCGGGCATACTTCACGCGATTTCGATCGCGACACGATTTGGCAATACTCCAACTGCGTATAACTCATCTTAAGCGATTTCGAAATGCACAGAAGATAGAGCATTCTATCAATTCATAAAAATTATACACGCCACGCATTGGTAGCCTATCACGTTGGATCTGAAGAGATCTGGCAAACTGCAAGATCGCGTGGCGACTGAAATCGCGTAAACTATGCCCGAGGCCTAAGAGTAGTAAGAATCAGCAAGCTGTATGAATAGTAATAAGTTGACAGCCAGGCTGGGCTCAAAACTACATGGTCTAGTCGAGTTAGTAGAAGACAAATCTAGCAAAGCAGAGAAGAAAAATTAGAACATGTTGAACACATGCACTGATTGAATCGGAAATGCACACGGCTGGCAAGAGAGAGCATGAAGCGATTGGGAAAGGAGTTCTACTAATCGCACAATCACCAAATGACGTAATAAGATTGACATAATTTAACCAGGCCATAAATGAACGTTCCGAACCGCGTAAGAAAACCTGAAAAAGAAAAGAACACATTTAAGAAAAGATTTGAGAAAGGGAAGTAATGAAAAAAAGTATACAAGAGTAAGGACTTGCAAAATCCAACTGGTAAGCTGCTCTTATTGGACAAAACTCAAATCAGACTTGAAACGAATAAAAAAGTATCAACAGAGGTACGGTTGACAATGCAAAATAATAGGGACGTCAATCTTTAGCAAACTTCTTTTGAAAGCCCAACTATTTTTGGAAATTAATAGTTTGGGAGGTAGTCGATTGAGCCAGCGCGCACAGCGATAGAATAATGAGTTGAAAGGACCGGAATAGAAGCTCTTTTGTAATCTAGGATAATGTAGGTTGAAGCCTTACACCTGCTAGCTCTCTAATTACCTCTTTTCGCAGTATAGGAAAACCAAGTCAGCCATTATCCTCCTATTTATCAGCGATGTCAATCCATTCTAAGGCGTTCCACATAAGATGGAATGTCTTTTTGAGTATACTTCGCAGTTTGCGATAGAGGACATTATTTTAAACACTCGCTGAACCTTTTCAACTTTTAGGGTCTCCTTTCTCCATGAGGGGTTCCATACTTGAGAGCAATACTCCAGATGCGGGAGCACACAGGCTTTATACAGTCTGATGAGAGTGTTTTCATCCCATATCTGAATGTTACGAAAAAAAGCAAACGGCGAAGAGTACGCTCTTTGCACGGCATAATCAATGTGTTCAGTAAATTCCAGTTGGTAATCAATCAAAACTCCTAGGTCCTTGACCGATGAACACATTGTTAAAACAGAATCATTCACTTCATAATCGAAAAGTCTTATTCTCCCAAAAGCAGAAAGGAGCACTTGCTGGGATTCAGAAAAAGACCACTACGCAGTGCCCACCAGCTCAATCTTTCAATGGATGATTGAAGTGCAGCATGCATAACATGATGATCCTCTTCTTTATAACAGACGTACAGCTTAATGTCATCCGCATAAATCCTTACACTCAATCCATCCAAAGTTAAAAGGGAAGATAGCTCCATAGTGAAGATAAGAAACAGAAGAGGCGAAAGTATCCCACCCTGGGGTACTCCACTAGTACATTGATATCTATTGGAAAAACACTGCCCAATCTTGACTGTATTAAATCCATTTTCAAAATAGGATCGGGACCGTTGCAATAAATTTCCATCTACCCCATAGCTTTGTAATTTGGATAATAGCACATGGTGGAGAATCTTATCGAATTGGATGGAAATTTCTCAGCCAACGAAACATTCCTTTCTGATGATTTTTTCCATAACATTGATTGAAGTGGGCGTCAGACTTATGGGACGAAAATCAAATACTGTAGAGGCAGAACCAGTTTTTGGGATTGCAACAACGATAGTTTCCTTCCACAAACTGGGTACTTCACAAAAATCAATGGAAAGATTGATAGATTGGCGAGAGGTTTCGAAAGTGAGTCAGCACACTTGTAGCCTCCAGGCGCCCGGCCTAGGTATTTTGTCACACTATTAGTCTTGAACCCAACCCATGGGATGTACGAAGCACTATATCTCGTGTGTCGGTCCTGAGATGTCTAGTTCCTTCCTCAACAATTCCTCAATAGCTCCTCAACAGTTCCTCTATTCACTGTTCTGTATTAGCTCTTCTGTACTACTCTTATTCTCTGTATTTATATATCAGCTTCTTTTGTGGTTTGTCATATTGCTGACAAACCATTATATTTTACCAGTTGTTCTGCTAAGTCAGTGGAACCTGCGGTCTAGACCGTCCTACTGCCACATGGGGGCCAAACCGCTAACTTAGCACCGACAACTGTGGAAGCGTCGAAGACCTTCCAGAAGAAGCTGAATTTTGGAGCGTCAACGACCTCCAAAGTCGATTAAGTTTGGGGCGTCAACGACTTCCAAATCGATTTGAAGCGGCGATTGTATCCCGCATAAGCCTTTCGCGTCTCAGACCGATAGATTGGGGCAGCAGTGGTCCCTATATTGATTTCTGAAGCGGCGGACGTATCCCCGCGTAACCTATCGATCTATTGGTCGATTAGCGCTGACGGTATAGAGCGCGCTTAAGGCCGCTTATACGAATCGCAAGAACTACTGCGAGTGCGTAGCATCGCAGAGCCATACTTCAC